ATATTCAAATTAGCATTTCTGTGTTTATATGTATAAGTATATGCGATATTCGGCAGCATGACATCATAAAACAGTCGACAAAACAATTAAAAACAATTTAAAATTGTTTTGTGTATTAAAAGGAAATTATTTTGATTTCAGACAATAAAAATAAAGCTTTGGATTATTTAGTTCAACTCAAAATGGTTGGACAAATGAGCTTTAATTGAAATAAATAACTTTTTTTTAGAGCAGAAATTATTTGTAATCACCCGGTTTTTAATATAATAGTTTTACTGAGATTTTTTGTTGTTTATTTAATTATTAGAATTAGACTTTTGGCGATTATTTTGAATAAAATCAAGAGCAATTGAAAAAACGTGCATGCATTTCCAAAGAAATAATATAATATTATTAAATGTTTCGTTATATATATTTTTATAGAAACGAAACAAACGTAATCAGCAATTTCATTTCAACTAAATCACTCTTTAAAAAAGAATTATAAGATGACAATAATAGTAATTTAAAGAAAAGCTGAAGCAAAAGCTCTATTCTGTTTGGAAATTTATCTTGTAGGAGACGAGCCAGCGAAGAAAATGGGAAAATATTGGACTAAAATTTCATTAGCCTTAAGGTGCCTTTGACTGCGATTGCGATTTCGCCCATTTAGTCAATCAGGACTACACAAGTCTGTCCATTACCCGTTTTATTTTAAAATATATTAACTTCATACAATTTTAAACCTTTTTTCCTTTCTTTACAATGGAATTATTTAGTGAATATTATATAATTAACAAGAAAAAACGTTAACTTCGATGGCACCGAAGCTATCATAATCTTCATAAATGAAAAAGTTTCCATACAAAAAGTTGATTTTGCTCGGTCAGTTTGTACGGCAACTATATGCTATAGTGATCTAATATGAATTATTTCTTCGGCGATTTTATTATTGCTTTAGGAAATAACCCACGCCAAGTATTGTGAAAATATCGCCTTAAATTAATTGCATAAGGCGATGGATTATTGTATAGAGAAATGGTGCAATTACCGAAGGAATTGTTCAGATCGGTTCACTATAGCATATAGCTGCCATACAATATTATCGATCAAAATCAAGTTCTTCTAAGATATTTTTTTGTATTTGTGAAGGATATTATAGCTTCTGTGCAATCAAAGTTAAAGTTTTTTCTTGTATTCCTATTGTTGTACATTTTGCTTAAAATTTACATATATATACAAGAGTCTTCGATGTAACTATGTATTTCCGTAAATATGTATCTCAGTAAGCCTCCCCTTTACCTTTTCTAACCTCAGATACAATCTTCAGAAATCAAAACAACGCCGTCGCGGCGCAACAGCATTTAGCTCCGAAAAAAGTGCCAAAAATACTAAAATGACCTCACTTCGGAAACAAAGCAGAGCTTGAAAAACAAGAACGCCAAACGTTTATATGTATGTATTCTTTCAACTGCTTTTGAGACCGGCTCAGTAATAGCAGACAACAATAGATATTTGTTTGTATTTATATTTAATGATGGGGCTTTGATTGTTAGAGACATTAAAGTAAAATACCGAAATCTAATGCGAAATTAAATATGCGTAGTTAAGCCTTCCCGAAACCAAAAGTTACCACCGAAAGTATACGCAGACTATTTTGAATTTTTGTATTGCGGCATGAATAGCAAAACAACTGTAATTGTTGCTAGGTAAGTCAAAGAGCCAATATGGTATGTGTCCATAAGTTGAGGAAGCCTTTTATGTTCACACGCTACAAACAAAATTGTTTACCTGCAAAGACGAAGTTAATGAATTACGCATGTGAAGACAAAGTGCGAGAAGGAAATCTCGTTACAAAAGCAACACGTTGGAAAACGAAACGAAGAATAAAGCAAGCGACACAGGCATAATTTAGAAAAACTGAAAATTACTAGTTCAGTTCATTCAACAACATAATAAATGAAGGAATGGAGGAACTAAAAAATTAAAAAAAAAAAAATTACAGAAGTATTAAAAAATATTTAAAAAAAAATATATATTTTTAAATTTAACAAAAAAAAAATTTTTTCAATAAAAATTATAATAAACAACACTTTTAACAAAGCTAGATCACACACGTTTTTTAAGCTTAGATTAGCGCACCGCCTAAAATAGTTGTCTGACCAAGCAGGCGTAATTAAATTGTTCCAAATGACTTCATTGTTGTTTCACTTTTATTCTTTTCTTTGTGCGCGTTAAACATTATGGGCTTGTCTTGAGTTTACGCGCCATAATAAAGTGAGATATTCGGAGTGTGAGACTACACACATACACATACACACACTAACTCGCAGTGATGTCACAACATACAAATAAAAATACGCTAGATACTCAAAATGTTTATAAACATGTTGCGCAACATTTTATGCTACTTTCTCGACTGAAATTTATATGTGTATGTGTGAAATAAAAATTCGTGAAATTTGAGCTTCAAGGATAACCAGAAAACATTTACGACAATAGCATACAACAGCATTAAAGTCGGTTGTTAAAACAACAATAACAACGGTAATTGCTTTGATGAATTTTATTGGAGTAGTGAATAAATTCAGGAGAACAAAATCATGTGATATTTTTGTGGTATTGATTGGATGGTAGACACCACGGAAATTTGCGTATGTATGTATAGGATGTACATATGTATGTGTGTATATTCTATATAACAGCCACACAAGTAAAAGTAGCATTCGACATTAACCGGTAGTGCGTATTATTGTGCATCGTCCTCAATGTACTGTAGTATATATACAGCAGTATAACAAAATATAAGTAAATGTAGAGCTACATGTACATACATATACTTGTATGTATACGAGTATGTATGCATACAGTAGGTCGACTCAAACCACTTCTAATGATAATGTTGTGGTTAAAAAATTATTTTCTCACAAATTATGTTTTTAGTACAGCTGAGCAAATTTAGCCATACATATAATATAAACATACTCATAAAGTTTTTAAAAGTTTTGTGCTGCAAAAAACATTTTTCGATATTTTGAATTTTAAATTTTTCACATTATTATATTTTTAACTTCATTGAAACCTACGAAACTAGAAAATTAAAGAAAACTAAACTACCAGCAGCAGGTTGCAATAAAAAAAAATTAGTTTTTATCGAAACTGTATTATTAATCATTTTAACCTAAAATATAAATATTTTTATTTTTTTATTTAAAATTTTTTTTTTTTGTTAAATTTATTTTACTTTATTTTATTTGATTTTATATTTTATTTTATTTTATTTTATTATTTTAGTTTTTATTTTTTATTTTATTAAATTATTTTTTTCTTATTTTATGTTATTTTATTTTATTTTATCTCTTTATTATACCCTAACCAAGGTATATGTAGTTTGCCACGAAGTTTGTAAAACCCAGAAGGAAACGTTAGAGACTCTATAAAATATATACATATATAAATGATGCGCGTGACGGGCTGCGTCGGTTTAGATATATCCAACTGTCTGTATATACGCAAGTACCTCAGTTTTTGTGATATCGACCTGAAATTTTGCAATTGCGTCCTTTTTTGGAAGCATTTATCGGACCACTTTACCTTATAGCTGTCATACGGACTAAACGATGAAGATAAAGTTCTGGTATGGAAAAATTTTTTATTTGGGAAAATTTCTTCACGAAATTTGGCATAAATGATTGTTAAAGCAATAGGTGTCTACTGTATTCGAACACATTCGGATCACTATAGCATATAGTTGAAGTACAAGCTGACCGAATAAAATCAAGTTATTGGAAACACTTTTTTGTTTGAGAAGGGTATTCAAGCTTCGGTAAAGCCAAGATTAAAGTTTACTCTTATTTTTTACCAAAGTGGCATGTTCATCGAATCTTTAAGACTTAAAACGTAAAATTATATCATCTCAAGACCTATATCTGATTTATCCAAAAGAGCGTATTTAGCAGATCTTATTCATCCTCATGCTCCTCATTGCTTCGAAAAATAAAAATGTTTGACAACAAGGTTACTTCGGTGGTTCGTTCTGAGAGAAAAAGTTAGATCCAAGCTCAGAACATGCTCATGAAACATATTTTCAGAATATATACAATACATATACTGCTCCTTAGACAATTTTATTATCCAAACATAATAGTAAAGCAGACTCAGGGCACATGATCTTTATCGAAAGGGAGTAGAATTCATTAATTTGAAAACGTGTAGCTAACCCAAACAATGCGTCTTCAATTTTTAATTTTAAGTCTTCTTATGACTTTTCGTATACAAACATAACTTGAAATTAACATTACAAGAATCTTTAGAAATTAATTAGAAAATATTAAAGTATATTTTAGATATTTAGAAGTCAGCTACTATATTTTACACTGCCAGATTATCTTAATTTTTTTTATTTAATGTTTTTAAATAATTCTTTAATTTACAACTTACATACACATTATTTCACACTTATTGTAGCGTGCTAAATGTTGCAGAAAATGTGCCAAAGTAGACAGTTTTCACCATAGAAGGATAATAATATACTATAGTTAATAGTTTTGAAAACACTATGACAACACAAATTTAGAAAAATTATTTAAATATTCATTAAATATTTGTATTAAGATATAAGAAAATTTACGTAAAAATAAGTTTTAATATTTTTCATTGGTTCTTAATAAAAAATTAGCTAAATATCGTTCAAAAACTACATTAAAAATAATCACTTTGACTTAACTATTTAAAATGTACTAAATTTGCGAAATTTAATTTAAAAAACCATATATCATTTAAACAATAAAATTTTAAGCACAAATATTAAATAATAAAATTACTTAACCAATTAATCAAATATTATTTTTTGCTCAAACATTAAAACAATTTTTTCTTTTCTTTCAACAATTAATTTAAATGCAATCGCGCAATCGAATTCGAGCGCTTTATTAAATTATTCAATTGTCATCAAGTCCATAAATTGCACCGGAAAATTTCGGCAATATTTAATTATAAAAACAAATGCTTTGTGAATTTACCAGCTCAATGATTTTCAGCAAAAGACGATTGTTGAACTCCATTTTTATTTTCTGTTTTCAAATTACTTTCTTATTCCTTTATATGTATATTTCGCACAAGCAAAAACACTTGTTTACACAGCAGCTTATTTTATTTCTTTTTATTTTTAATCAAATTCAACTTTCTCACAACAAGCGCGTTACTTTCGCGAGCGTTCAAATCGTACTGATTGTTAGTTTCGTCTGTGCCACCAATATAGCATCGCTTCGTTTGGGGTTCGGCTGACTGCTTGTTGGAGCAGCTCGCTTAGCCGGTTTCTGTCTACTTGCATTGTTGACAATGAATCGCGTTGTTGCCAACACAGCTATATGTTGCTTTGAATCTCTCAAAATCTTGCTGGAAACTCTTTTTGTGTTTCAGAGGCAACATGTTGCTTCAGCGGGATGACCGCGCGAAACTTTAACTGGCATACAGTGAATCAAAATGTTGTTAACATAAACAAACAAATAAATTAAAGAGAGAGAGAAAGAGTATATTTAGATCCATATAAAGCAAAATAATTTTCGTAAGCTTCATATGTACCTATGCTGTCTCTTTAAAAGATCAACCCTCCTTGGATTAGATCTCCCCATTACATACCTTAAACTGAGTTTTAAAGGAATTGGTTAAATACTTTTATCTAGATTGTATAAAGAAGAGTATAGGGTGATGATCAATATTGTGGATCTACCTTATCGAATCAACTTATATTCCACAAATAGATAGAACAGAATTTTGAGTGATTGCACCATTTAATGTGATGGTTCATTGAACAATTACAAAAATTATAAGGGTCCGCCTATTCACTGGTAAAGTCAAGGAAGAACTTTGCTTCGATATATTCATAGTTTAAACTTTCGTATAAAAACACACTTTCTGGTACTTTACCTATTTTCCTAGAAGGTTTGGAGCCTTATGCAAAAAGTCAGATAGAGGCAGAAAAATACTGTTCCTACAATCTTCGCATATAATTTTAGAGTTAGTTTTGTTTATAGGTGCTAACTATAAAAACAAACGTATAATATAAGAGAAATCAGTTTACTCTCTTTTCAATGTTGCTTCAAGACAGTAAATCTAGTAATGATCAAAATATTTCAGAAAGTATAAACACTGTCAAACTATTTTTTTTTTTAGCTTACGAAGTCGTTCCATTGGCGTTATGCGGATATTGTTGACAACTTAATGGAACTTAGTCGTTTAGTAACATATTAAGAGACTATATTGTCAAAGTTGTAGTTATCTACATTTGAACTCATTGATAAGATTCTTATTATGCTCGTCCTAATATATGATGCACTTGTAGTATATAGATAAGAGACAAATCGATGAATAGTATAGCGACTCAAAATATAGGACTGTCGTTTAAACCAATGCCGATTTCACAGCTATGAAAGATTTTCAAGCAGAGCTTAAGGGAGATCTTCTCCAAATTGGATAAAAAAATAAAGGCTATGTTGTTTTACGGGTTTCGAATTGGCGCCAAATTGCCGAATGAAGAAAGGACACTGTGAGCATGTTGAAAATGCTTGCGGTTTTAGAACCAATGAAAATACATGAATTAGAAGTTGCAGAGAACATGCTATCGCCATTTTCATATATACAGATGTTGCGCAACATTTTATTGCGTATACTAATTCACATATGAAGTCACTGCTTTCGACATTAAACGAAGATATACGAAGAAAAAACAGAAATGACGACATCCTGCTATAGAGTACGACTTGAATACATACATAAATCAACAAAACTAGGTGTGTATATGTTGTGCATACAGTCTGTGCGCTTAGAAATATATGCTTAATACACAAAAGAGTCATTACAAAAATAATACCTAAAACCTCTCTATAAAAATACCAGCTAAAAACTCTTGAACTTTAGTTGATTGAAGCTGTGAAACTTCAGTTTCTGGCATATTGCGCATTTTGCCAAAAAATTCTACTAAATTTATGTACATACTGAAGCAGAAAACATCTGTTGTCTGCTTAGTGAAAATCTAAAAAGCAAGCAACACCACGCAAGCATTAAGAATTCCTTGACTCATGTAATAAAAAAAGAAGTCGTATTAAAATACATAAATACTAATATATGTACATATTTACTAGTATATATGTAAGCGGGTATGTGATTTAATGGCACAAAAATTTAAATTTTATTTGACATGAAAAATGTTACGCCAAAAAGCATCTAAATAAACAACAGCAAAGTAGTTAAAAAATGGCAGAAAAACTATAAAAACTAGAGCTAAAAATAAAACTGTTGTAATGAAAAATGTATTTATATGTTTGTATGTTTGTTTGTATGCGCTTTATGACTTAAAATACTCTATAAAATTCTGGCAATTCCGGAAACGCATCATCGTAATCCTCCTCCACCGGCTCCCGTCCACCGACCGCCGTTTGTGTGTCGCTCTCATTTGTCACGAAAGGTAAAAATCGCATCGAAGCCAAACAACACCCCATTCACAATGGCCAGCGATGCCTTAATGAGCGCCAAATCGCGTGTGCGTGTGCGAAATGAAAACTCCCATGCCTCGATTATGAACACACCCGAGGCGATGAACAGCCCACAGCCGAGCACGCTGTAGAATATGTCGATGCGTCTGTGGATGGGCGCACGCATTAGGACACCTGTTGACAAATTTATATAAAAATTTAATTTAATTATGTTGGTACTTTTTTTTCAATTTCGAATTGGAGACACTTTATATAGTATGTCTGTGTACGCACCTGCGAAAATACCCACAACGACAATTATGTAGCCGGAAAAGGTGCCCGTCGCTACGAATGAGGTCAGTATGTCGCGGTCGTCGAAACTGTAGAAATGCAATGCCAGGCAGGCGGCGGAAAATCCCTACAAGAAATGGGTCATGCGGTTGTTGTGTGAGTAAAATGTAGAAAAACACTGCTTCCAACTATAAATAACGGTGGATTGTGTGCTCTCATTTTGCATATTAAGTTTCAGCGTTAATTAATGAGAGGAGTGCCTTGTGGGATTAGCCGAGGGTTGGGTTTGGGTAAACAAAATTTTCTCTTGATTTATTAATTGGGGATGACACAAAAACTGATAGGCTTTGTTGATATTTTTTTTTATGCGGTGCGTTCTATTTTAGCAAATTAATTTTAAAGCATATTTCGAAAGTTCTGCCGTCTTTATATAAAAATACTTTATTTATAATATCTGAAAGCCCTTTACAGCACAGATTTATAACGGGATTCGTCATAGGATCTCAAGACTCAGATATTAAGAAGATATTTCGAAGACCACAAGACCATATCTAATATATTATAAGATCTTAAGGGATCTCTATCTCTAAAACTGACAACTCTCTTTCATAATAATTTAAGCCGACGAAGTATTCTTCACATTATAGCAACAGCTTTTCGGAGTTTTGAATGATGATGATATATTTTAATTTCAGAAACTATGGAACTACTTGCTCTGCTTAGTGTGGGATTCAGTTCATAATCTTTTTAAAGACTTTTCAATAAGCTCAAACATTTTCGACCTATATATCATTACTGATAAGATAAAGCACATCCATGAGATGATTGAGTACTATACTAATTATTGATATTTTGTCACCTCCACATATTCAATCAGGCTTGTGTATTCTCGCAAACGCGTTCTCATACCATATGTTTCATCATTTATCTCTTGCAACCGGCCAGGACTCTCTGAACTCCTAATCCTATGATGAGTTTGGAATAAGAACTATTTCATATGGTTTAGCTGTTTTTTTTTTGTTCGTGCATAGTTTGATCTCCATATGTCAATTAATGCGTTGTTTCTTTACGACGAAAAAATTTTATCTAACGATTTTACCATAGAAAAAATTAAACAACGAGTTTCCTTGAAATGTTGTGTTTCCAATGGAATCACGGCTACGCAAGCGCTAAAAATGTTGCACAAGTATTTTGCGGAGTCTACTTTACCACGAACACAAGTGGCACAAATCATTTAGTAAAGATTTTGAAACCTCTGCCACGTACAAGTCGTCCGTCCACCTCTGTTAATGATGATAACATCGGAAGAATTAAAGAAACAGTATTGACATCAGAGAGATAGCAGAAGATCTCAATATATTTAATGGATCGACTCAACACAAATTAGTTAATGTTTTGGGTATGAACGTGTTAAATCTAGACTCGTTCCAAAAGACCTAAATTTTTTTGCAAAAACGTCGTCGAGCAGAGGTTGCAAAAGAAATACTTGACTACGTAGCTGAAAACCGTACATTCATCAAATGCCTCATAACGTGGGTTCATGAATATAACGTCAAAACTGGCCATCAATCTGACAAATGGCCCACCAAAAATGAGTCGAAATCGAAAAAACCAAAAATCTCTAAAGGCACTGAAGGTCATCAAAGCTTATATTGGCACAGGAGCCTATTTTAAAGGCGATAATAAAGCTTTCTATGAATTTATGTGATTGTATTTTAATTTTTCTATCCGGGCCAAATTTGATGGTATATTCGGCCAGGAAATTTTAAAAAGTCCGGTTTTTTAATTTTTGCCGTCTGAAATTCAAAATCCCAAAAGTATTTATGCTCGTTGACCAATTTTAAGCCTTGTTCTGTTTATGGAAAGGTTTCTCTACCAGGAACTTTTCCGATATTTTGTATTATTTAATCTATGTAATGAATTTTTCATTCCCTTGCGGTAGCTGCAAGGATCTTTACCAGCATCCCGTTAGAAAGTTGTGATGAGCTCTTAAAATCAGAATTGGGAACTGATTCCACAGGCGAAGTCATATAGTATGATCCCTTTAATTGAATTACATCTTCGCAGTTTGTTCTTCAAAGTAGTGTTGAAAGTCTCCAGTAATTTAACTCTTTGAGATATCCATTCTGAATCCCTCTAAAAATTTGAGCGAATATCTTGATTTTATAAATCAGTAACTTGGCTTGTAGAGATACTTAGTCTTCCCTGAGGAAACTGAAAACATATTAGAATTTTCACTTAGCATAAAATGCATTATGCATTGATCTAGCACTTCCAATTTAGTTTCATATTCTGTTCATAAATTTTCTGTTTCTAAAGCAGTATCGGAATTACGAAAATTTTTATTTAAGCAACACCACGGAGCATTCCAGAAGCAAACTCAATCCTTTAACACTGGGATACTTATTATACTTAATTTTTATATATATGTAATGTTTATATAGTTTTATATAACTATATGTATTACCAATTCCATAAATTTAACCGCACTCAAACGAGGTTTACGCTCGTTATGTGACATTTTTTTCGATACGGACCTTAGGGTTCTATTGCTAAAAACGCAAGCTACTACTATCTTTTTTGTCCAAACCAGTCTGCTAATTCTGCAGCTCACATATCCTTTTACACTATTCGCTAATAAACCGAACTCGACGAGAGAAACGAAACGAGCGTATCCAAGGTAAAAAGTGAACTGATGAGAGCCGTAGCTGTAAAACGAGGTACCCGAAAGTCATTTGGCGTTACACATAATCGACAGATTGGCAAACTACAATTGGAAATGTATGGAATTATGCTCGAAACATTCCATTCATTTATTTATCTGCGTCTGCAACACAAAACTATTATTTTTAATATTTACAACGACTATAATGAGGCAATGGAATGAACGAAGCAAGCAGTCGATGGACCAATGATGATAGTGACCAGCATTAATTAATTACACTTTAGGAAGGAAATACGCTTTTCATATGAGTGCTTAGTGGATCGAGGCAACCGCATGTGGCTTTCGATGGAATAGGTTGATGGGTTGAGTGGAAGCGCTGCTAGAATGAAAACAAAGCGATAAGCAGAGAAGAAGTAGCACATTTTAGGGGGCCGTTGCAAGCAGAAAAGAGCACACGAAGGTACTTGAAATCAGCAAAAAAAAAAAACGAAATTGGTTTGGAATATGAGTGGCAGACAGCGCGTCTCAAGCACAGAAGAGGAGAAGCGTCGCAGATCAAAACAAAATAAAGACGAAATAATTATTTATGTTTTCCCAACGTGATTGCCACACTTTAATGTAGAAAACAATTCCATGATTAAGTAGCTAAGAACAATTATGCCTAAATGCAAAAGATTTCGAAATTAGGCGAAAAAAAGTAGTCTTAAGTGATCATTGCTCATTGCAGAGACTAATTTGCTCTAAAATGCCAATTTCATGGCACATTTTTCAAATATATACAAACATACACACACGCATCTGTGGCACAATTATTTAGCGTATTTCTTTTTGTTTATAATTTGTGTCAACTTTTGTTGTGCCGCTAATAGCTGTGCGTACCTTCGGAATCCAGCGTAGACACATGGCTCACTAGGTGACTTGTATGTGACTTCCATGTGAATGCGCTAATTTATTGTTCTGTAATTTGTTTACGCAGCGCAAATGATGTGATTCAAAATCCCAAACAGAACACGTATTGTAAATAGCACTTTATTGCATTGTGTGTATGTAAGTACGTGTATTTAAAAAGGTAATGAGTCAGTTATTCGTCATATGAACACGAATTAGGACTTTGCTCGAAGTGTAGGAGAATAAGGACCGTGATGTGAGCTAATTATGACATAAGCAAACAAAATTAGGTTAAATAATTGAGGGTAGGTCTGAGTGCGAATGGAATCGAGTATTCAATAACTGACTTACATATATGAAAGAAGTAGTTAGTATATTTTTATATCCCCTTATGTAAGAGATGGATGGTGTTTCAACAAATCTTATTAACAATGTATTTGTATCTTATCTTACTTTATGACATTTTTTTTATTCCTTTTTTAAATATGAACAGGTGTCATAACTTAGGTTCTTACATACATATGTATGTTTATAAATACATTATAAGAATAACAACTTGATCCCTCAAATAAAGGGTTGAGCGAAAACTGGATTTTGTGCTATCTAAACGATGATAAAAGCACCATATAAATGCCGAAAATTGTTCATACTTTGCTACTCAAAGCCTTAACTTTTTACAACTTCTTATGAGAAAATTAGTCTACCGGTATAAAAAAATTGCTCCACAATCGTTGGGTATATCATCCTAAACCTCTGAAGAAAAATCATGAATGGCAATCTACTGAGCCGATTTTAATAAAATATTGTTTCTAAAATTATATTCTTTATCACCTAAATCGGTTCGAGAATAGGCGAAATCGACCTATAACCAGGCAAACTTTCAAATCAACAGCCCTTTGAATACCACCAGCTTCTATGACTTTGCTATAGATAGCACAAGATATCGAAATAAAACTTAGAACTAAAACCAATTGCTCTGACATGTGGGAATAGTGATTCCAAAACAGACAAAATCAAGCCGTACATTCTTCTAGATATACCCGTCTAAATATACTCCGTCCTTCCGATTGACTTTTTACCGTAAATATCGGCGAGTAAGCGTGATTTTTTTTTTTTTTTTTAAAAATAGCATATTTTTTAACAGAATATGGTAATTAGATGACGCTGAACGCTATAGTTTCTTGTCAGTTAGTGGGAGCTTTTATTATTTTTGTTTTTCTATTGTTAGCTTTTCAGCTCGAGCTTTTCGTTTGTCACCCTTGGCTAGGTATATCTAAGACAAGTCAGGGTGATATCATAAACACAATTGAATCAAGACAAGTGCCGCTATGTTTATATTTACCTTTGTTGTTTTCAGTGTAAGAAGCTTAAAGCTCTTATACAACTTGTAAAGCTACACATATATAAAAATGAAAAAAGCAAATTGAAACTTTCTTTGGTTAGCTAACATGTATAAGAGCGGTAATATGAGGGCAGGTCATGAATTATAAAAAAGCGATAGGTGCGAGCGTGAGCACATTTTTGGCATTCGGTAGTATTTTATCGCATACTAACCACTAATTATTCCCTGAAACAGTATAAAATAAATAATTTAAATACACTCCATCATCTCCAATTATTTATAATCAATAGCTAAATATTTCTTCTCACTGAGAGACAGCATGTACTTTTTAATAGGATCCTAAATTTGAACTGTCTAAAAAACTCATTTGGCTTATGGGTTCATCACAAATTGGCTATGAAAATTTAAACTAGTCCTGTTATAGCAGCAATATAATTTATGCGTATGTGGTATGAAGGCTCTTAAAAACTTTGTTATAAAAGCTATACCTTTCTATTAGAACTTTTTATTCATAATATAAATAATCAACAACCTGAGATTTCTAAGTTATACACCGTTAACTTTATGATGAAATAGATACTACTTGTAGATTAGAATCCTTTATTTAATCTCGGTTATTTAGGCTGGTACAAAGATATGAAAAGGAATTTCCCCAATAGAAATAGTACAGGCTCTTAATGGAGCAAATTACATACTATAAATTGTAATTGAAAAATGTTCCAAAAACTCTCAAAAATTACAACAGCACTAGTAGAATCTGATTCTTTCAACAACTACTAAAAGTAGTTCCAAAATTATAACGTTATATTTTGGAAATTTATAGCTCTTAACCAGCGCTTTCGGGGCAATAAAGGACTGAATGAAAATTAACTTCGCAATATTTCTTTCTTTTTGACGAATCAGAGTCTTTATTTAAAAATAACTGGTCCTGTTTCTTACGAATAAATATTGAATCAGTATTTTTTTGAACACTACAATTTTTAGACTCAATGCAATAGTAAATCATGAAAAAGATATTATATACAAATATATGGTCTTTAAACTGCCTTCATTGTAGACACAGTTTCGCTGCGATAATCTAACAAGTTTGTTGACTACTAAGCAATATTTACAAAGCTTCGTTGAAAACTTCGGAAATCTGCACTGCACGAAAACAAGTTTTCCTCTCAATTAAATTTCCCGTTTAAATACTCGAAAACTATGTAACAATTAGTAATCAATCAAACAGCGAACTTTCAGTGCATTCGCGGATTTCAAACGTAAATGTTGATTTTGTAAAACAATAGGTATTCAAGTTTTATTGATAAAGTGTGATTGATAATATTTTAAACGAACGGCAATATACCTATATAAAATTTACAGAACAGTTTTTCAATAAACATACATACTATTTTGAAATTAAAAATGGCAAAATTAACATTCGAGCTTCTCACACTAGAAAACAATGTCTTCAAAGCTTACCTCTTCTGGTCAGCGATTTTAGTGTTGAAAATGTTATTCATGTCATTGTTGACGGGATTCATGCGTTTTCGAACGATGGTACGTATAAGTGGTATTCAAATTTATATTTTTATATAAAGGGTGTTATTTTAAAAGTTTTGCTTTTATGATATTATATGTTTAAATTTGACTCTGTGACCCTCATTCTATGACAACTTTGACTATCTTATTACATTTAACGCAAACTTTCTCAAATCAAACTGCATTTACACTAACGTTTATTCTGGAACCTACTATGCATATTTTATAATTTCCTTATTAAAATATCTCAACTGTAGCTCATACGCAAGCAAATTACAATAATTATTGAATTATTGTATATACTAATAACATTCATCATTTTTTACTTAGCTATAATGGGTTGTCTCTCACCATTTACATTACCATTTGCGACAAGTTTCAAATTTGCCTACTTTTCTCTCTCTGTCTCTTTCATTTTGCGCCTCTCTTGTGTCGACATGATTACACTTGTCAAATTTGCCTACTTTTCTCTCTCTGTCTCTCTCATTATGCGCCTCTCTGTGTCGACATGATTACACTTGTCGACACGAAATGTATTTATGTAAGCTTTAAGTGATGTGCAATAGAATGTTATTAAGGTGTCTTTATATTATATTTAAATGTTATCAATCTATGTAGGTGGTTGTTTCTAAATGCCGGCCGGCGTAGTCAGATATCTATAGACTGGCAAAGCTTTTTACAAATACATATGTATGTATAGTATATGAGATTTCTTCTTTATATACATATACAAAAGTATTTGAAGTTTCACTAGCGGATTTTACTTTTTATGAAAGAGTGCAACGATTATTGGGCGTTAGGCACGCAAATAAAGATATTGACTTCAAATAGTTCAATAAAGATGTTTTCATCGAATAACTGTACTTTACAATATTTTGTTAAGATCTGATCGGTCTGTTAGTATTTTTGATCAGTTAGATTAGATTAGGATACTTAGACTGGAGATCAATGGAATGAATCAATCCAGTCATCTGATAGTGTTTCAACTTCATAAAACAAACAGTTAAGAAAACAGTGCTAAGATGATACCTTCTCATCATCTTCTAGACATTACTGAAGTTATCCGAGTGTTTGCTGACCCTAGCAACATTTAAGAAGTGACATTAAATCTCGACTGCAGACCTTGAATATTTTAGTTTAAATTAGCGTAAATTAAAAACGATGATCTGCTGACTGACGTCCAAAAGAATACTTGAAGGAACACTTTTTCAATCTATGAAATACAGATGGTGAACATGATAAGCTCGAACACCAAAATAGATCTCTCCAAACAGATTTTCCAGCCCATGTAGTATAAGTGCTTTCATTCTTTGAAAATATAATAGCCGACTTCCGTTCATTTCATTAGAATGCTATTAGTACTATACTCTTAATTTCCTCACAGACTTTCATCAACGAAGAGGATATACTCGACAAACGACTTAAGTTGAAGTATAACGATCCACATGTGGAACGAGCACGTCGGTAAGCAATATAAATACCTATAATTTTTTTGTGAAATTTTCAATTGCCTTAACACTTCCATAGAGCACATCGCAACGATCTGGAGAACATTCTGCCGTTTTTCACTATTGGCCTCTTGTATGTGCTGCTAGATCCAAATACTACTTTGGCTATCAATTTGTTTCGAGCCGTGGGCATCTCACGCATTTTACATACGTGCGTCTACGCCATTGCTCCAATGCCACAACCGAGTCGAGTCTTAGCATTTCTTGTTACCGTCTTTGCCACCACTTATATGGCTTATGAGGTGGCTCGAGAAGTGTATTAAAAATGTTAATGAGTAGAAGAACACTCTAGAGTTCGAAACTTATTCTTAAGAGTAAGGTTTAGTCATATAAAATTATGTCTTTATGTATTTCTTATGCTTATGAAGATTAGATAAGTCGATTGTATATAAAATATTAATATTATGTGTAGGGAACACAATCATTTATAAGCTAAGATTTTTTTTAAAAGAGGTACAGTTTTAATAAAATTTATATAAAAATTAAATTGTATTTTTGAAACTGAACTTCTATAGACACGGCATTATAACCAATGGAATGCAACGAAGCTTCAACACGTTAACAGTACCATGAAATTAAGAGCGGAACCGATTGGAAAATATTTTCGAATAAAAGCTACCATTTGCTTGAATGATAAATATAAATTTGATCAGATGATATCAAATTTTATTCGGTCCATTTAAACTGTGGGTGTAAACTTAATCTATAATTTTTTTTTTTTTTATTATTATTTTAATTTTTATCAAAATATTTTTAAATGTGAATTTTGATCTCCATATTTCAATTAGTGTGTGTTTGACTGCGATACGCGAAAAGTTTGTTTGGCGATTTTTACCATGGAAAGAAATTTTCAACACATGTTAGTTAATGTTTTGGGTATGAACGTGTCAATTCTAGACTTGTACCAAACGACCTGAATTATTTTGCAAAAATTACGTAGAGTAAAGATTGCAAAAGAAGTGTTTGACAACGCGGCGGAAAACTCTATGTTCACTAAACGCGTTATTACCGGTGATAAGACGTGAGTTTATGAACCTGGCATTGAATCTACCGAATGGCACCACCAACCAAAACCCGAGGCTTATATAACTAACAAGCGTTTTTTTCAGTCCTGGTCTAATTCGATCAGATTGTATATAAGTAAAAAATATGAACTTAGAAACATAACAAACAGGCTTAAAAATCTTATATTGAAAAAAACAAAAACAGTTTCAGAGTTGCCACCTTGTGAGGAACCTTTAATGTACACAAAAATATTTTCTATGGGGCCAGCAAGAGGCCTGTATTTACAGAGCATACAGGGAATTTTCTTATACATCCTACGTATGCTCTAACAAACTTCTGCCACCAAGTATAAATTCAACGCTAATCTCAATTTATTGTTGTTAGAGATGGCTATCTATATATATATATACTTGTAGATTATTTATTAGAAACTACATATGTACTTACATATTTATGTGTGGTATAAAAATCACAAGTACTCATATAACGGGTGATCCAAATAGAGTTACTTTTTAATGGACAGATTACACGTGAGTCGTGCCAAGCTGTCATGTTATTTTTGTTTATTATTGTTTGGCATTTTATCATTGGAAGATACGAAGAAGATTAGAAGATTACGCCTGAACAACGTTTACAAATCGTTCAACTTTATTACAAAAATTCACGTACTGTAAAGAATGTGTTTCGCGCGCTTCGCTCAACTTATGAGAGAAACCTAAAGAGATTCAAGTGCTGCCATTTCATCCAGAAAAAAACACGGTTTGGTGTGAGATGTGGTCAATTATATTCCTGTGGGAATATGTAAATTCTAAAGGGATTGTCCGCATACCGCTTCAATTCAGACCTTGGAGCAAAATATCACGCGTGTCATTTGCCAGTTATCTGTCGAAATGCTCGAACGAATCATCGCAAATTGGACTCAACGGATGGACCATCTGGGTCGTAGTCGCGGCTAACATTTGAAATAGATAATCTTCAAAAAATAAATGCCAAATAATGTTTTTTCGAATGATAATAAACATTCCTCTTTATATACAAATTTTCTGTGTTTTTTTTTCTTTGAAAAATTAGCGAATCTCAAAATGGATCATCCTATATAATGACTAGACAAAAATGACGCTGAGAACTTGTATGCATAAATATGTTATCAAAAGCTCACTGGAGATTCAGCAAGTCAACGACAAATTTGTTCAGAGTCAACTTAAAAATAGTTGGTCAATTGATTTGCACGGCAATAGATCAGTAAATTTTATCAGTTGTAAGGATTTTTATACTTTTCTAGAAACATAAAGAAGTTTAGTTAAAGTAAAATGGCGGCGAAAGATTTGATTTCGTTTGATAATGAAGTATTCAGTGTCTATGTCTTCTGGTCTGCAGTTTTGGTTGTAAAACTCTTGTTCATGTCACTGCTGACGGCTATTCAACGCTTCCGGACAAGGGTAAATCAGTGAAAATATTACAAAAAATATTCATGTTTTTTGCTAAAGGTTTACGTTTATTTCTGTTATATATCTCACATACCTACATATAACAGAAAGCGACATAAGTCTTAACATGGACATGAATATTCATTAACTTGATAGTAATAGTGCGCCGTCATCTCGGTTAGAAATCGACGAGGTTAAAGTCGAATTTAAGCAATTGACAATTTTTCTGTCATATTTGCTAACGAAGAGGCTTAATCTAATAGCTAATGTTAGTGTTACGTTAATAATAACTCACTTATACGTTTTTATGATCCATTAAGACTTTTTCCGTGTGCTTTCAAAAGCAATAAACATAAATAGGTATGGATGTAAGTACTATACATTCGTACATATATATTGTATACAAGAATTTGCACTTGTTAAGTCAAAAAATGCATTTATGTATTGTAATATTTAACACGCTCTCTCATTTAATACTGTTAGACTTTGAATGCTTTCTTACAAGTAGATTTACAAACAAACAATATATAATATAATAGAAAAAGTGTAAGTCAGTCCAAACACAAATAATTAACAGTAACAGGGTATTCACTCAGAATTGCCAATTTTTATATATCAAAATTATATATCAAAATTATTTAAAAAAAAATTTCTTTAGAAAAAATTATTATTTCAACAAAAAGTTTCAATTAATAGTTATTTTAACCTTAGTTTTATACTGAGAAATTATCAATTCATAAAAATTTAATTTTGTTTTAATATTTTTCTTATGCTCGTGTGTAATATCTTCTGTAAATCCTTTTATAATATGACGTTTCATTGACTTTAAAATTTTAATATGGATCATTTCATCTGCTATTTAATCATTTGACAACGCTCCTAAATGTAGGCTACATTGCCAATTCATTTAAATCATCCATTAAAACGCCTATTTTATTAAGCAGAAAACGAAATACCAAACGAATCGTCTATTACAAAGAGAGTTGAGAGAAGAAGAGAGAAAAATATAGTGTGGATGTAATGGAGAACGTCAATGACGATTATAATAATTATTATACGGCTATTGACAATTAGATATTATAAAATTTGTTTATACTTAGCAATTTAAATCGCTTAGCACTGAAATATTTTTGACTGTAGACTATTGCTAATATAAGAAACTAGATATTCTCAAAACCAATATTGAAGTAAACACTTTGGAACATTCACTGAGCCCTACACACATTTGTATCTGTACAGACCTTCGCCAATCCCGAGGATTTGATTGACAAACGTCTTAAAGTGAAATTCGATAATCCCGATGTTGAACGCGTGCGCAGGTATGTAAATTAATGCATTTGTCAACCTTAACATACAATACATATAAGCCATAATTCTCTTTTGTATTCTTTGACCTTTAGAGCTCATCGCAATGATCTAGAAAACATTTTGCCTTTCTTCGTGATTGGTTTCCTCTACGTGCTGATCGACCCAACTCCTGCTCTGGCCGTCAATCTCTTCCGCGCTGTGGGTATTGCGCGCATTGTCCATACAATTGTCTATGCTGTTGTTGTTGTACCACAACCCAGTCGCGCATTGGCATTCTTCGTTGCTTTGGGTGCAACAGTTTACATGGCCATCCAGGTAGTGATTGCCACCTTATAAAAATGCTTAGTGTATGCAAAGCTATGATTTTCACTTTCAAGAGTGATTTTTGTTATTGGTATAGTAATTAAATTAGGAACTTTGTACAATAATTTTTTTTAGATAAAAAAATTGTGAAATACTTTTTTCAAATTAATAAAAAATAGTATACATTCTGTATGAAATGTGTATATAAATAAATATACAATATATGACAGTTAAAAGCATTTATTTGCCAAATGTGGCATCTTCAGCATATATTTGAAAATGTGTGGGAACTCTAAGTATATATATATATATATATATACATAGGTATATGAAACCGGTTTGCTTGGAAATGTAGCTTGTAACATTTTCGTCTATAGATTTTATGCTAAAAATACTACTGAACTATATGTATATTCAGTATCGGCTCAACTAGCGGTTGGAAAATTATTATATTCGAAATAATGATTTTTAATTTAGAGCTAGGATAAGACGCCCACCTGTACAAAAGATATTAAGTTTGCCACGAAGGAAACATCGGTCTGTCTGACTGCTTGTATATACTCGAACTAGTCCCTCAGTTTTTGTGATATCAATCTGCAATTCCGCACACGTTCTTTTTTTACTTAAGAAGCTGCTAATTTGCCGGAATCATCGCTGTAGGACCAATAAGGGTGAGGACCAAGTCCAAGTATAGAAAACTATTTGATTTGACGAGTTATCATCACAAAATTTGGCATGGATTATTGGTATGACTGTATAATCTCCAAAAATATTTTTCAGATCGGACCACTATAACATATAGCTACCATACAAAATGACCGATCAAATCCAAGATAAAGTCAAAGTTAATATTTTTTCTTGTTTTATTAAAATGAAGTATCCACCGATACCTTTGGTATAACGTCAACTGGCAGAGCGGAGATTCTGGTTGATTGAGGTATGGTTTGATTTAGACTACTTTTTGGATCAGAACTCCCACATTTGCCTTTTCGTGCTAAATTATATTTCGATATCCTTGTTAGTGCTTAAGATATATGTATGTATATTGCAATAGCAAATATGCTGATGACATTCGATGAAGGCAAGCAACTCAAAAACAATCTGGTCTTGCCTGGACCCCTAGCTTTTCTAGACCCGATATTGCTTTAACTATTTAAATACTACAATTTGCAAACAAAAGCAGTTCATTTCGACCAGCAAGACTCTTATATTTCGAATCGGTTATGACCATTTGTTAAATAATGACTTTTAAAACCGAAACTACCAATAGGCTGATCTGATCAAACAAATTTAAATATTTTGAACAAGTTTACCTAATATAACGGCTTTTCAAGCCAGGCAAAACTGTTTTAATAACACTAAGGTTCCCAATATTGAAAGTTATGTTAAATTTTTTAAAATTCTTGCTTCATATCAATTTCTTAGTGGGGCGTTGCTCTGTACTGCTCCAATAACGTATTGCATACTCTCTTATACCAGTGTTTTAATACTCGCACAAAACTCTTTTACAGATATGTGCTCACATCTATGTACATATTTTTTTGCTTTCAAAAGTAAAAAATCGCACATAGTCTCCACACTTGAACTTCTCTCTCCGACACACGTGAACATTCTCCACTGTACTGACAACAATTTTACTCCTGTTGCCTTCAAAGAAACCAGCTCACTATGTTATTGTCACGCATCGTATTAACTCGCTCAGCAAGCCAACACGACAGACTTACGAGCACATTAGAGAAACAACATAAAGCGACTTGCATCTACCTATAAATTTCTGTAGAAGCCAAAACAGATTTTGTATACTTTGTTCGTCAGAACATTTGTCAGTCGCTATTAAAGACACCGCTGATTTGGACGTCAGTTTCCGAATTGAATTTGTTTGTTTTTCTCGGCAGTTTTTTTAGTAAAAGGTTAGTGTGAGAAAAAAATATTATCAATATCTGCTACAAAGTGTAAATATCTAATAAATGTGGTAATAAGTGGTTTTGTAAATAAAAATAACATTTAGTAAAGTTTTCTTGATTGTGAACTTAGTAAAATCTTTTTGATAGTGAACTTAAGCCTTTGTAAGTGATATGTGACCGCAAAGTGGGCCTCAAACCGGGCGGCAATTATTTAAAACCACACTTATGTCAATAATTTCCATTTTAAGTGGAAATTTAAGCAACTTTTGTTCAGAAAACTATTAAAAAATTATTTAGAAACGTGGGAATGTGAAGTAGAACATACAATGAGTCTATTAACCTTAATATCTAATTTATATGCAAATTTCTTTGTTCTAATGGAAATTGAAATGTTAATGACTTTTTGTGAAAATTATCAGTTTTACTGATTTACAGTTTTACTGATAGTGATGATAGTTAATTTTCAGAGCAATCTTAAATTATTTGCATATTTTTTCATTAAAAAGTTCTTTCGTCGACCTCGCTACTAATCCGGCCCCCCCAATAGCTGTCTGTATACAAAACAACAACGTGGCCGGTTTATTGAACTATGTTTGAGTATACATCAATGCTATAGAAAATTAGCGTGTTTATGTACCTACATATGTTATAGATACTTTCAGTGCAGCTATATTAATATGTAAATGAATACATAATATATATATATATATATGCTTTTTTCGCAAAATGTTATATGTAATCAAACACGTGCCTTTCAGTTGTTAGTGAAAGTCGCACATGTGCTTGAAGACAACTCATGAGTTCAACATAAAAATAATATATATAAATACATATAAAATATATAACAATGTATTTATATATTTTTTTCATTAATATATCAATGCTAAAAAGTCCTGCCGGAAAATCAACTTATCGAAAGCACAAGCGCTTTGGTTGTTTTTTAAATTACTTGCAGTTCCAGACATTGTGTTCGAAAGTGTTAAATTTTCACAACGTATTCATCTTTGATAATCATTAATTATCATTGATAAATACATTATTTAATTGGCTCACAATTTTTCTAACTAAAATTAAGTATGAGATAAAATGTGACCAAAAGAAGTTAAAATCTGGAGATAATAAGTCACAATATTCGATTAATGAGTACAGAAATCATATATATAAATATATTTTAGCAGAGTCTTCATTAGAAAAAAAGGATTTTTTTTTTTACATTTAGGCCATAATTCTTCCTATTTTTAGCTCTTCAATTAATTTCATCATTACATTCATGGCTGTTATTTTTCTATAGTAAAATATCAGGCTAGTTAGGAAAAAAATTAGTTCAGAATAAAATAGAACTAGTCAAAAATAAAACATCAGACCAATACCAATTTTTCGGAAATCGATATTTTTAATATTAACTAAGAAGATCTTGTACAATATCGAGAGTATTACTGCTCTTCAGAAAGTGAATTAGTCATATCTATTTTGAACAAGTATAGCACTGATATATGTTATATTGGATCGTTTACTAAGTAGTTTTATTTGATGACAACAGCTGATCTTATAGAAATTTTTCGCAGCCAACTTCACACTTAACCGCTTTACCGTTATATAATTGAACAGCTGACATAGTAAGGCTTGTTTGTAAAAAACTGTTTTACATTTTTTGGATTAGTTTTTGGAAGAGCTAAAATCTGCATTTTCAGCACAGGCCTAATAAACGTATAAATTTCACAACTATTAACAAGTCATGTTTGGTTGCACTGCAGAGCTCTGAGGGTATTAGTCTAATACAAAAATTTCAGTATGCTATCTTTTTACCATCGCGCAGTGTCAATCACTGGGTTTGGCCATACGTCAGCATTAAGCATGTTTTGATGTTGTCTTTAAAAGTTATCAACCTTATCAAACCTACGCTTGAATTCGATTTTGAAACTATGTATAAAATTTTGACAGAAAAATATGAAAACATATGTCAGAGAACAAGAGTAAATAAAAGTTATAACTGTGTTAATTATATTCTACCTCCATATTTATTTAGCTACGAAAACATTTTTAGAAACGTCATTTTAGCTTTTGCATTTAGTCAGCTCTTGTATATAGAAAAGCTAAGAATTAGGGATACAAGATTAAATGTATTACATAGATAAAAACAATATATGGTGTTGAGTTATATGAGTTTGAGTATTCCCGAACGAAAAGCTAAATATTATGAAATTCTCTCTCTTTAATTAAAATTACGTTTATATGGTTCTCCTCAGAGATCTTAGAATTCAAAAGCAGCATGGAAATATAAACCCAAAATTTATTCAGTCATAGTTAATAAAATAATATGTAAAAACTTAATTTTCATAAACAAAAGGCATGTTGTGTTCTGAAAACTATCTGTAACTAATATCTAATATATAACTGTATCTAATATCATTTATCCGGAATTTAATAACATAATAGGTTCTTAATTGAGTAATTTACTTTGAATTTCAGCAATTTATACCTAATTGTTTTCAATTTAGCAGACAATACATCGATCGACTAACTGCAAAATTAGTATTGAATGGACAATAAATTAGTTCAAAAGTTTTTACACAGTTTGCAATCAAATGGAAATGTTCGCTATAATTCGCAATAAATTTGCTTTATATTGCTTGTAATGTACATAGTAGTGTTATCGATTTTGAGTATATTACTAATAGCGGTTCCAGAAATAAAAGATATGGAAATTGTATTTTATGTGGGCGGTAGTACACCTTTATTTTCTATAGCTGTAATTTTTTCTATTCATTAATCTAAGTATGTATACAGCTTTATCTAGTGCGATACTCAGTTAGTTCCAAGTTTCGTATAATAACAATATTGGTTTAAAAGATATATTCGTTTTCATTTCTTGGTTTCTAGTAGATCAGGTGCTATACACTCTAACCTCAAAATATATGCATTAGATGAAGTATTTTGGTTACAAAAATGGTTGACAAATTTTAGTGAAGTATATTTATGATGAATAAAGTAGATGAATGAAGTATAATTTATGATAAATCTGAATGTATGAAGATGACGAAAATATCACTGAACTCTCCTCCAACTATCCACATTGTTTAATAAGAAGGAATCTTCTATATACAATTTATCATCCCATCCCATCTATGCTATAGTATATTAATATTAAATATATTTGTTCAGTTCAGAATTGGAAATCAATTATCATTACTCATATAATTTACATAGTTAACGTCTAGTAAGACATTAACGTACTTTTACACAAATATCTCTCTTTCGTAGTTTGTTGCTAACAAATTAAGGCTAGAAAAAATGGTTAAATGTCTATACAAAGTTAGCAATAAATACAATTTATCCATTAGGGATAAATATAACTAATGTAAAACCAAAAATTTGTAGATACATATGTATAAGTATAGAAAATCTCACAGTATTCACAATCTATGTTAATTACGAGCTTGAAATTTCCAATAGGGTATTTAGAAACTATAAGCATATTATATTTGAAACGTGTATGGTTTCATTAATTACGTGACAATTTGTATTATGTAGTTCGAGACATACAAACACACATAAAAATAAGCATTAGAAATAAACTAATTACTCAAGTAAAGTTATCGTTTAATTAGTTTCGTTATATTTAGTTAATATTTGTATGTGTGTGGTTTCCATAGAAACTCTTGATAAGAATTATTAAAGCTCAACTTGGAGCGTCAAAGTTGTTAAACATTTTGAATGAATGGGTAAAAGGGTTGTTCGATTAACTAGTACACATTGTAGGCCGTGTCTTAATAGACTCAATTAAGGAATAATTTACTTTTACGATAATATTCGAAAAATTATTAATTATTTCGAAAATTATTAGTTGTTAATTAAACTAAGTTTATTAAGAGGTCATCTCACATAAACTTTAGACTATATCAATTATCAATTGTAACGATTTAGTTGTCCACATAGAGTTAATTAAACTTACACAATTATTTTAATTTTGTTTATGAAAATTAATAGAAGAATTTAACATCAAAACTAGTTTGAGCTGAAAAAAAATTTTTTTTTTTCAATTTATATATTATATATGTATATATCTTTGCAATTTTGAAGCTATAAATGCCGCTGTACTTTCTAAGAATAGATCGCTAGAAAGTCCTTGTGGTAGTTTTCTTCTAAGCTTTGTTGTTGTCTTGCCTCACATGTCCTTCTATATCTCTAACTCACAAAGATGTGTAAAAATTTGGACTTAAAATTATTACTAATCAAATACTAATAGACCATTAATTAACGACAAGGTTTTTTGTAATCAATTTAATCCTAATTATCGCCAAATTTGGTAGGAATCAATTTATTAATTGACACCTTTCGGAACTGAGGTGTGAGATCCACTTTCTAACCGGCGCACTGAAACGAAATTAAACTCACGTGATTCTATAACAAATTGTGAAGATTTTAAAACTGTTTAAACACACTTAAACAAAACCTACTTTGATTTAGCTTATTTGTATAATTTATATAATATTTGTATTTTATAAGGTAATTGCGCTTGTACCTTTAACAGATAATAGAAATATGTTTTATAAAAAATTGGAAAAAACCATGGGGGCCAAACCAGATAAGTAAGGTTGTATTACCTATACAACTATATGGGACTAATTATTATTTTCAGAACCATTTTTGTCGTCATATACCAAGATGAATATGATACGAGTTAAAAATATTACGTAAATATATTTTTTAATGATTATTCATAATGATATGATTTGTGTAAACTATAGAACAATTATATTTTTTCACTATCAATTCCGCTTGCTCAAAATGCTCGACAAAAACAAAAATATGAATAATAAATGCTTTAACGGATGCTCGGAAGTTTGGGTATCAATTAATAAAAATATTTTTGTCATAAATTTATCAATAGTTCGGGTACGTTAGTTCCTTCATTTGTCTTATCTTCACAATGAAACAAAGCCGAAATTTTAGTAGACGTCATGTAAAAAATTTAGAATTCAAAGTTGAATTGAAAAATTATTAATTCTTTCATATGTGATAATCCTTTCACAAGTCAAAATAAAATAACGACTACATGCTGCTGCGGCTAAGTTATATATTAGATTATAATATTATAAACTATTCAATATAGTAAATGGTACAGTAAATGATATTCCTGTAATCTCTTTGATTATGATAATCGAGTTGGATGCAAATTACTATAAGGAATAATAGGTGAACCAATTTTCAACCGAAAATTATGTGCTACCATTACGGGTATATCTAGAGAATTTAGAAAAATAATTTGACATTTTTAATTTCATTTCCGTCAACAAAATTAGCGATTGATTTAAAATACATCAGATTAGCTAGCAACAACTGTTGTATCTAGAAGTAATTTTCGTCAACATCTACATTTGTGGCCGCTATTGTAGCCCGATTACTGAGCCTTTTATCATCCAAGTAATTTATTTTTATTTCCAGGATAATACTCTTAATTAAGTGATTTTTGTTGTGAACAGCAGTGCAGAAATTGTCTGGCAATTTATTGCATTGAGTATTTGGTGCAGTTCTATTATACCATTTCCAATTTCTAGCTATTGTTCGGAATTTATGCAATTGCATACACATATTTATGATCAATCTGAGACGATTTACCATAAGAACGATTATTTAAACTTTTGTTTATCTTCAATTAAAAAAAGCGAAGCATGGCCGATCTGTTGGAAATCACCTACTAATTTCATCGTTGCGTTTAAATCTTGCATTGTCCTGTGCTTCGAGAATATTTGTGGGCCAATTTGCATTCATTTCAAAATATGATCGAACTTTTCCACAACACTATCTCAGCTGTTCCCGTAATTTTTATGTTGCACGAGTTTGAGATATACACATTAAAAACTTCTAGCCTGATATTTTTATCTAACAGAAATTATTTTCTATAATATGATAATAAATTTACTAAACCAATTTTAAGAGTGACTACTGATCCTCAGTTTTGCTAAACGTTGGTTCCTCAGTTTTGTATATTACTAAAACACTTTATACAACTTTAGTTAGACCTATATTGGAATATGGCTCTGTGGTATGGAACCCTAGCTACCAAATCCATTCTGACAAGTTAGAGTCGGTTCAAAAAGAATTTTACTTTTCGCCTTAGCGCATTTCCGATGGGATGCTAGGGTAAGTCTACCTCATGTCATGATTTTAATTCTCATTCCAGCACATTTGACTTATCTGACTCACTTTTCAAAATTAAAAAGACTTTATTGTTTTCTCTTAATAAATGAAAATGTAACAATTTATTATATTGTAACTTTAGATCTTAGCTGTTGAAATTTTTGTTTCTGTAGCTGAGCAGTTTTAGATCTCAACACTTAAAAAACTCTCTTGCCTTTTCTGACTCGGCTAATTCCGCACGTATGCGGATTGCGCCCCTCGCGTCGGTTGGGCGGGAGGAGGGTAATCGTTGGGTTTATTATTATTATTATTATTATTATATTAGTCAAAAGTTAACTTTCTCTAAAAGTTATTTTGTATATTTTTGTATTCACAATGCTTAAAAATCCTGATATAATCAATTTGGAAAGTGATAATGAAGATTTGGATGACCGTGCTCAATATGTTATATACTCATACATATGTATATGTTCTTTAATATTGTAGAACACACTTTTGTTACGTTACTTATGTTTTAGTAAGTATCCTTAATATTTTCTAGCAATAAATATCGCATAGGTTACACAGGGGAAATGTATCTTTCTAATAGTGTAGGGATTTTCCAAATCGGCACAGTAGTTTTTGAATTTATTCATTACAAACATACACACTAATCTTTCCTCTTTAACATATAAAAGCAGTACACATATAGTTAAGTACGAGCACATGCAATCTAATTAACTTTCTGTGATTGATTGCAATAAAATCGAAAGCAAACAACAATGTAGGTGGCATAGATAGATATAAAATGAATGTGACACTATTGTCTTTTCCGTATCACCAGAAGTCCGGTTGTTATGTTCTAATTGCGAGCCTATGGCAAAAAAGTTATCAACAACTAATTTAAGACCAGTTCCAACATAAAGACTGGTTAGTTTTAGAACCAAGTTTTGCCCATGGTTTGGTTTTCTTGGCGCATTAGACTCTTTATCAATATAAAGGCATCGAGTCGAGTTACTTCTTCGACAATTTGTTCCATTTCGTCATGTCGCTTATAACATTGGCTGCATCGATTTGCAAAACTCTCTCATAACCATGAATATCTTCTTCGTCATCTGTTTGATTATATTCGTTCTTGCTTTTAACGATATTGAAATGACGACATGAAATTTTTGAACTTGTGTCCCAGTATCAATCACTCAAAAGCACTTCAAAAAAAAATAAACAAAAATCATAAAAATTAAAGATGTTTTCAGACTACAACCATGATTCATGATCATGTACTACAGCAGGCTTGCTAAAACCGAATTTTAATTTGAAAAGCTGTGGTTGTAGTAGGTTTTTAGCTCGGAATTTCAAATACATTAAAAATCTAAAAAAGTATGACGTTGAAATGACGACAAAAAGCATTTTCGAGCACAAATTTTATGAGTTTGTATGTATTTTACATCAAAAATGTTTCTAGTGCCTTTGATCAAGAATTCTGTTCTAAGGTAACCTATATAAAACATAATAAATATCCACTTTCTAAAAATTCAGAGTGCCTGAATATAATACATCACAAAAATATTATTTAAGGATATCTTGAAATTTCTAAACGCTGCTGATGATAAGTTGTTTATTTTGATTAAAGTTGGTTATACTTGTATGTACAGCTGTACCTAGGTTTCCGCACAAAGTTTAAATGTGTGTTATAAGTATGTATTATGTTATCAGTTATATGTATTGATACACGTTTGTTGATCAAGAGTTCAAACGAATGTCTTAATGACATTTTTTATACACATCTATTTAAAAAAAATATATATATATATTTATATGTATATATAATTTAATTTGGGGTTCAAAGCGTGTGCACTCCGGAAGATCATACGCAGCTACCGTATATCGCCCAAATATTAAATAAATGACGTATTTCTAATAAAACATTAATTATAGAGAAAGAAAAATAATAGAGAATGAAAAGAAATCTGAAATAACATAATGTAAGGTAGCTCTAAAATTTTCATAATTGAAAAATTAACAAATCTCTGCTCTCTTAATTTTGGTTATACCGCTTTTCCCATACTTCGATGTCGTTAATTAATATGGTCTGTCATCCCCCAAAAATGTTTTTAATGTGTAATCCTAAACTTATTTTTATCGTTAAATATGTTCTCTCAGCTTTATTTATCAGACTAAGTTTGCAGAAAATTTACTTATTTGAGCTGAAAACTCGAAAGAGAGCTTTATAGGTTTTGTGAGAAGTTTAGTTATTATAGACAAGTAGCATGAGGGGATCAAAGGAGTAAGGTAAAGAAACAAATATGTTAACCTAATTGGTATTGTTTGTTCTGTTTTTGTTTCGTGCTTCTCTGTTCTGTTTTATTTTGTCTTCTTACCTTCACATTGGTCTTTTATATTTCGGCTTTAAAGATAAGGTTAGCTTAGATTCGTTTTTAGAAGTGCTTAGTGGAATTTCAAGTTTAGCTGTAGCTTAGGTTTAAAGTATGAAGATTAAGTTTAGTCGGATAAAAGGTCTGCTAAGAGACCTGTAGTCTTATTTCAACCATTGTTTAGTCTCTTCGCAGTCAAAAGTATCGTTTCTAACAACTAAAATTCGCATCTACTTTTGTCTGCTTTCAGTTAATTTATAATGCCTGCCAACAAACCCTATGAGCGCCCAAAGGACTTCATCGATCCTGGACTGCCTTCAAAATGCACATGGCATTTAAGCACGAAGGAGAAGACACCACATACTAAACGCCCAATGTAAGTCAGGTTTAACACAATATGCGATTTCTCCTTATTTATATTTATAAAAATACATAGCGCTCATCCTCAAAAGCTTACACCCGATATATTAGAGGTTATTGGCTGCACACCATTAGTTAAGTTGAATCATATACCACAAGCTGAGGGTATCAAGTGTGAGATGTGTAAGTTACGCAATTTATTTAACACATATAACTCAATATTTTGATACAATATGACTAATTCTCAGATGCAAAATGTGAATTTCTCAATCCCGGCGGTTCCGTGAAGGACCGCATTGGTTATCGTATGGTGCAAGATGCTGAGGAGAAGGGTCTGCTGAAACCTGGTTGCACGATAATCGAACCCACTTCAGGTAACACCGGTATCGGTATTGCCATGGCGTCCGCTGTTAAAGGCTATAAGTGCATTATCGTAATGCCCGAAAAGATGTCCAATGAAAAAGTATCGGCGTTACGTGCCCTGGGTGCCAAAATTATACGCACACCCACCGAAGTGGCCTACGACAGCCCGGAAGGTTTGATTTGTGTAGCACAGCGTTTGCAAAAGGAAATACCAAACGCCATAGTCTTGGATCAGTATCGCAATTCGGGCAATCCACTTGCGCATTACGATGGCACTGCTGCCGAAATCTTATGGCAGACAGATAACAAGGTTGATATGGTGGTCGTTTGTGCTGGCACTTGCGGCACAGTCTCCGGCATTGGCCGCAAAATCAAGGAAGAATTACCAAGCTGTAAAGTAATTGCTGTTGATCCATACGGTTCGGCACTGGCACGCCCCGAAACGCTGAATAAGTCAGACATCCAGTTTTATGAGGTAGAGGGTATTGGTTATGATTTTACGCCTACCGTAAATGATTACAACGTAATAGACTCGTGGATTAAAGTCGACGACAAACAAAGCTTCCCCATAGCGAAGCGTTTGAATGCCGAAGAAGCATTGCTAAGCGGTGGCTCAAGTGGCGCTGCAATGTGTGCAGCACTGCAAGTGGCCAAAGATCTGAAGGAGGGTCAACGTTGCGTGGTCATACTGCCTGATGGTATAAGAAATTATATGACGAAATTCGTTTCGGATAACTGGATGGAAGCACGTGACTTCAAGCCAGTAGTAAACGAACACAATCACTGGTGGTGGGATACACCGGTAAGTGCGTTGAACTTAAAAGCGCCGGTGGTGCTGAAATCAGTTGTGAGCTTTGCGAAAGCTATTGAGACACTCAAGGAGCACAGTGTGACACAAGTGGCGCTCATAGACGCCGATGATGGGTGAGTGTGTGTCACAGTCTAAAACTTGTACAAATCTTTTATAATTTTTATTGTCATCTGCCTCGTTTAGCACACTTTTGGGCGTTGTACTGCAAGAAACACTTATCAATCAAATTGTGAGCATGAATCGTAAGACAGAAGAACCTGTCGTCAAGGCAGTCAACAAGCGTATTATACGTTTGCCTTCCAATGCTATTTTAGGTAAATTAGCGCGCATTTTAGAATTGGATCCTTGTGTGGTAATCGTAGATATTGAAGGTGAGTTGAGCAAGCATTTATACTAATTTACTTTTCAATAACAAAATTAAAAAAATTGTTTGTGCAGGTGAAAAAGAAGTCATTAAAGGAATTGCCACCAAACTGGATGTTCTTGGCTTCGTTGCACATGGTGCCCCACAAACTAATGGCACCAATGGTCAATAGTATCTTACGACATACAGCAATGCTTTTAATGAAACTATTTATCTATTCCGTGAGCTGTTTGTTGTTCGTGGATTGAGGCTGACTTTATAAGATCGTAAGTCATGTTCCTGCTAAGTGACTTACTTACGTTTTGTTGTAAAATTTTGCGGACAATACAATACAATTTCAAAAGCTTACATTAACAGATCCATGACCAAGAGACTACGCAAGCATCACTTGCAATGAATTAATAATCTCTAAAAACTTAACGGTTTAATTTGTAAGTTCTTTAGATTTAAGATGACACAATATTAAAGTAACGGATTAAAATTCAGTACTTTATATACAATTTGAAAAGTTTTTAATAAAATAAAAATGAATAAACAAAATTATTTTATTACCCTCACTTGCTGTCTGAATTATTAAAACAAGAAAAAGCACTAACTTTAGCTGCACCGAAGCTATAACACCTTTTCTCCCCAGTGCATTTCTTATAGCAGAAAAGGGTTTAATAAATATGTTTATCTTGATTTTGATCGGTCAAATTGTATGTCAGCAATACGTTATAGTTGTCCGATCTGAACCATTCGTTCAGAGATTGTAGCGCTGCCTTGGACAATAATCCATACGAAATTTCGTTAAGATACCTTGTCAAATAAAAATGTTTTTACATGCTTTGTAGGTCTTTCCAGTTTATATAAATTTTGAAAATAACAGAAAATTAAGATTAAAAATAAAAATATGGGGATTTCAAAAAATTGAAACGACTGCAAACGATTCTTGAATCACTGACAGTGTAATTGTATTATAGCCCAATTATGAAATTAAACCTGACATGGTATTTCTTGGAATTTACTTTACCTCTAAACCTCTTAAAACTAATATGTCAATAATATAGTAATATGTAATTACTTAAAAATAAAAAATTACTAACCTGGATTTTCTAAACCTTCATATTGTTCGTGAGTGGTAGCAGCATAACACATTTTTTTATGATTGACCTTGGTAAAAAATTAAATTTAGATTAATTGCCTTCAATTATTTTCACTTGCAAATTTAGTATATAGTACAGCATATATTAAAGCCCACATTACTTTATTCCAAAGAATGGAATTTCAACAAAACCCTTCCCTTTTATAAATATTTAATAGCTTATTTGAATAATTTTTCACCTTATTTTAATGATTATAATTTCTACTATGCATATGCTAACAGAATATTATATTTATTAATATTTACTTATTTATCACTATTTTTTCATTGCATATTTAGCATAGGCCGGGCTGAAATTATTCACTTCACTTAAATAAAACAAATATAACTTATAAATAAAAAACACTTCACCTTTGGTAATTTTTAATTATATTCACTTAAATTGTATATTTTACTTACTTACTCAGCACTTAAATTCTAAAGTCGCCTTTGATTTTACATTAATTTCAATACAAAGGTCTTGTACTGTGCATTTACAAATGAAAAGCTTCACCTTTGCTAAAATTAAAATAATTTATTAGATTCAATGCGCTTCCCAAGGGAAGTTCTTACTTGTATTCACATATTTTTTCACTTACAACTCTTATTTTTCACTTTATTTCTATAGAATGCAACTTCTACTTTGCATTTATAAACAAAACTCTTCATATTTTGTAATTTTAATAACTAATTATTTGATTTTCTTACTAATATTCTTTCATGCACTTCACCTTCCAGCAGAGCTGCGTTGCAAAATATTTTAACAGCAAGTCCCTGTTTAATTTTACACTTTATTTCTATAAAATACAACTTCTAATTTGCATTTATAAATAAATACGTTCACTTACATATTCCAAATCATTTTACACATTTAATAATTTCTTATTTGATTCACTGCACTTTCCAACGATTTCATATTTTGCACTTAAATAAGTTAGCCCGTGATACTGTTTCACTTTATCACTTCAGAATACGTCGTGTACTCTTTACTTCAATATTAGCCTTATTTTAGAAAAACTTATTTATTTTTAAATAAATAAATAATTCACTGAAATTTTTTAAATTTGAAAATTCACTGCAATACGGTAGCTGAAATTTTATACTTTTCCACAAAAACAAGGAAGTTGACGTTTGACATTTGAATAGCGGCGGATGCTTGGAAATTCACAGCTATGCATATAAAAGTACCAAAAACAAAAGCGTTCCAATTTTATGCAAAAAAGTAGGACATTTTAGAATATACACGTTAAAAGAATGCAAATATTTTTCAGCTGAATGTATCTTTACGTATTTATAACTGCTGATATACATATACATATGTATATTTGTGACAACTCAGCCATAAGCCTGGAAAGTGCTTATTTACATACCAAACAACTGCCAACAAAAATAAAAACAAGTGATTTGTTAAATTTGTCTTAAAAAATTCAATTTTTATTTCAGCCATCATTTTAAACATTTTGCCATTTTAGAGTCTTTTTTAGTGCAATTTGTCTTTACGAGTATTTTTTTATATTTGCGTGTTTTTTAAATGCTTGAGGATATACAAGAATTTTTCTTAAACTTAAATATACGAGTATATAGGGAGCCGGTTGACATTTTACTTATTGCAATTTATTATATAATTTATGAAATCCAACATATATTTCAACTAAAGGCAAAATTTGCAATCAGAATCACTACTTAATAATTTTTAGTTTACATGTTATTTAAATTATTTGAAAATGTTTGCTCCGCTGCGATTGAGCGTGTAACTTTTAACTTAACAATCTCAATTTTCTAACGAAAACAATACATTATTGTATAGGCAACCAAATGGGAAAAGAATAAACTATTTTTACAAATTAAGAAAAGCACCGCTTTTAGTAACTTCAATTTCAAAACAGTTATACATTCGCAAAACTTAAGATTCTTTATTTTTAGTATCTCAATACTTTCAAGTGTACTGCACTGGTAGTTTACTGCTGCTTGTCGGCAACTTGCATAAATAGATACTGCTTTTAAACGCCGCGATTACGTAAATCCTTCACTTTGTATATTCGCACCAACCAATGCTCGGTTGTGTAAGCTTCTTCTAATACATCCAGTTCAAAGTCTTTATTACCAATTTCGGCAGAACGTACGCGATCATAACCTGGTGGCTTGCCGCCTTCTGTGTACACTTGACCAAAGCGATAGTAGCACATTTTGTACATGAGGCAATTGAGCAGCGTCGGTGAGCCTTCTTTATCCACACGAAATTCGCCATTCGGTGCGTAATAGTCGCGCTCCTTTATATGGGCACCACGATCTGTGCTACCACCAATACGTACCATCCACAAGAACTTATTTATATCGTCGGAAGAGTAACCGGTTAAACCACCAAATATTACAAGCACATAATCAACATCCAGTTCGCGCATAATTTCATAAGCTTTCTCCTCGGACGAAGCCATCGCTTGGCCAACACGTGATATATGCGTGTTATTCCAGGTGTTATTGTCCACTAATATTGTACGATTAGCCATAGCAGTTATCTGATAGCCATAATCCCACCAAGACATGATGCGCGCATCCTAAAATAGGCAAAGAGAACAAAGTTTAGTGGCATAATATTGGAAAATATTTGTAAAACTATAATAAAATTTGCTGTCAGCTGGTTTTATAGTACTCATGTGTGTTTCATACTCTTCCTATCAAGAATTTGAAGTATTCATCATGCAAAATTTATTGTCCAACTAAAAACATATTGCACTCACCTCTGGTGTATTCATTTGCAGCCAATAGTAAGCCTCTCGAAAATCATCGAATATGATGCGACCGCCATCATGTGAGCGCGCACTAAGCACAATACTTGGCGAAGAGTATGCCTCTGATGTCACCCAGGTGCAATGGAAAGTGTAAACAATGAGCATGAACGTAATAATGCCCACAAAACCAATAGCAACTTCGCTTTTCACACCGCTACTTTGCTGTTCAAGTTTCTTATACTGACGTTTACTTTCTACGGGTTTCGATGGTCCGGCATCTATGCATTTTATGTACTTGGAGAGCAGATGCGAGGTGGCAATACCGGATAATACACACATAACCGGCGCTAGCACGAGCATTAAACGCACCATAACACCCTGTGGAGGTGGATAAATATTTAATAAAAATTTTGTTAAAAAAATTAAATAATATTTACCGCAAAATAAATACTGGTTACACCATAAAGGATGATGAAGATATTCGAGTCGGTTAATTTCGAGAAGCAGAAGTACAAGCCAGCTGGGAAGAGGAACACCAATATCTGCAATAAAAAGAACATATATTTATATGTTTAACAGTAGTTTCACTTTCCAGTTGTCACTGGAAGTCAGCGATCAAAGTGTGAAGTAATCAATTTGTGATAAATAGCGGCAAATGAATGAAAACTCAACGCCGCATATTTACGGACATTAAAGCGCACTCATACAACAAATTGTCATCAGTTAAAATTTAAGCGTATTAAACACTAAAACAACGTTTAAATACCTGCAAGTCGAAGTAGAAGGACGACCAAGACGTGGGCTGATGCTCCGAAACAGATGCGATAATGGGAATGTGATTTTTCGCGTATGAAGGATCAAGCAAGGAATAAAAACGGCCCGTCCATGGCGACACTTTGCCAGTAATAGTCAGCACAGTACCAATCACAAGCACTGTAGTCAGAATACCAGACACTAAAGCTTTGAAAAGAATTTCGAAATTTTCTTTGGACAGACGAGCGCGCAGATAATCCACAAACGCATGTATTTGACATAGACCGAAGGTGCCAAGCGCCTGCAAAAGAAAAACAATTTACAAATTACTAAATCATTAAAAATATTATATAAAAAAAAATGTATTTAAAATATAATAATTTGTCAGCTTTGTATTTAGTACTCATGTGTGTTTCATACTCTTCCTATCAAGAAATTACAGTAATCATCATTGATATATGTATTAAAAATAAAAAATAATGTAAAAAAATTTTTTAACTTACCAACATGTGTTCCGAACTTTGTATTGGTTGAAAACCGACAAATGAAATCTGCATCGAGAGAATGGTGCCAATACAATACAATGTGCTATATGCCACATATATGCGATGCGAGAAACGGCCTGTAATCATTAATGCCAAAACATGCAGTGGTATTAAATTGATTAGGAACACATAACCGCCCCATGAGGAAACCATGTAAAAGTAGGCCAGTGCAGACATGGTCGACCAAAAAATGGCGCCACTTTTCACTGCCTTAATCCACAAATAGTATGTGAGCAGCATACAAAAGATAGCAATACCCTCATTGTCATAGGAGCCTGCAACTGAACGCGATATATAGCCTGGCACAATTGAAATAAGAGCAGCTGCTACCAAACCGGCGCCAGTACTCTGCAAAAAGTAAAGTAAAAAATTTGTATAGATTATTTTTTAATACTTATAACCACGTG